CCAAGAGCTACAACAGGATCTAGAACTGAAGTTCAGATAAACAGGTCGGAGATCACGTGCCGTGATCTTCCTTTTACTAAGCATTACGGTTCACACCGTGACAATAAGTGTGTATGTTGTAGGTAATGAAAGATTCGTACTTTTGCACATCGTAGAACGATGTCTGAAAAATTATTTGGCCAATCCTACGCTCACCCACTTCTCTTTTTCCCGTGTAAGATGAAATTGGCACCGCAGACAAAAAGACGTGACAGATTAATCTCCGATAGGGGGAATCGAATCCCCGGCTGCCGTGTGAGAGACGGCGATGTTAGCTGTCAGGCCGAAACCTGACCCACCCTCAGCGAGTCAGCTTCCCCTCCAGAGATTCTTGCCTGATGCCTTCCAGATGGACCACTTTACTGATTCCCGACTGGAGGGAAAATCCAAAGGACTTAAAGCAAACTGATGGGTGAAAGAGATAAACTGAACTCCTAGGATGGATTCCTTCCTGGAAACTAATAAAACATGAAGGGCAGGAACATATATGTTAGAGATACTAGAGATCTACGATGAATGTAGATGTAACTGGAAATCTCTTGATGCGTTTAGAGAGAGAGAAACTATCTACATGCTATGACTGAGACTAAGTACTGGGAGCAAACAGTGGTGGTCACGTGACCTTCCAACAATATACATTGTCCAGGCCCGACGGCAATAATGACCACCTCCGGGAGGCGGTCATTTGAACTCCATCCTAATTGCTATTCCATTTAACTATCCGACACGATATGGTATAGGAAGAACAAGGGAACATGACAGGCCCTCGGACAATAGCGTCATTCCTATCCCCTCATATTTATTTGGGTAAGCCTTTTTATTCATCTACCAATATCAAAATACACCTGGGCGCTTTGGACTAGGTAGTACTTCTCCGCATAAGCAAGTATATATGTTGAACGAAATACAGCGTACTTTCCACTAGACCATAACAAAAACCAAGGTTCCTGTTTATGGTCTAGGGAGGCCGTATTTGAGGTTTGACAATATATTCCAACAAGTCGAGCGCCTGATCTCTGATAGTAACGCTTTGCATGGGGCCCGTAGCTGTGATGCACTCCGTGAGAATTGAGGTCAATCTTGCGAATGGACCAAATATGTGCGCTGTCATGCTGATTGTAATTTGGATATTTTTTGCATCAACTCCTTCAATTTCTGCCACCCAACCATCAATCAAATCAGAATCCAGGTTGAATGCGGGATAATCCATAGCAATCTTGCGCAAAACCCTGAGTGAGTGCAACACTTGAACCTTCAAAGCTTTCTGAAGAGTCTCGACAAGAGCTTGAGGGCTTTCTTGAGGGTAATCGAGTGAGCGAGAGTGAGGGAGCTCAGTGGCAGAGTCGTGACTCGATGTTGGCGGTGTTTTTGCTGCACTGAAAGAACCTAGTTAGCCAATGTGAATAATGTTGGGGGAACGGGCCATGCATACCTCGTTTGATTACGCCGGGCTGGTTGGTTGATAGTGCCAGTAACCCGATATTGCGTTCGACGTGCCTTTTTAGTGGGCCTCTGGTCTAGCTGGATGTCTTCATTCTTGCTTCCCGGTGCAGGCGACGTTCGTGCCGGCCGAGGTCTTATTTTTCGATACCTTGAACTTGGCCAGGGAGAAGGAGTGACTGTTGAAGACAGGCATCCTGTTAACCATCTTTCCGATTGTGGAATGCTCGGATGGATACATACTTCCGAACATATCTCCGGAGGTAGCGGGTTGTATGTTGGGCCATAGGGATGGTTTGTTGAGACTTCCATAAACGGGAAGCCAGTGACGTTGAATGCGTTTTCGTCATGGGACATACTGCGGCTATGATAAATTAGTTTAGAGCCATGTACGTTCAGATAGCCCATGAAATTGGATTACCTATAATATGGTTCGAGGAGCAGGCTTGGTGAGTAGGAATGAGGTTTTGTGCTGCCTTGAGAGCAGAATGCAAAACGTCCCCGCAGCTCCGAAGGGGTAGTCTGTGTTCATGTGCATGACATAGATCTTGCTTCTGGCTGAAAGCACACATTGGCTACACTCACCCTCACAGAAGAAATCCCTAGGAACCAGGCTTGCAAGGATCTGGTGAATCACAATAGGCGCTCTTGCCTCAGGTCGTTGTTCCGATGTAACCCGGTCCGACCTCAAATTCTGGTTTGAATCTTCTCTTTTCCCACGTTCTTGGCACACTATAATCTAGACGTCTTAGTGGCATTTATATTAGTGTGTATAGTACAAGCGGTAGGCTTGCTACCCATTGCTGTTGGAGTCTAGCATACGCAATAGACACCAGAGGTAGGAACCTTGTTGCTCTCAATTTCCCCGACTCTGCCTCATGTTGTTTTTGTATAATCGCACCGCGGACACAATTAGTTCGTTAGAGCCGTCATTTATTTATTTATAGTGAGCAGACGATAACTTGGCCATCATTGGCCGCTAGCTCCCGATAGCTGGAAGGCCCGTGGGGGCTTCGCCCTGGGTCCTTTTACGCTAACCATATTGACGCCCCAGCGGCTAGCACTTTACCTCTAAGCCCCCTCAGCAATTTTACTGAAAGTTCTATGACAATAAGATTACGGTGTATCAGTGGATTATGCTAGTACTAAGCTAAGTCCAAGAGGGTCAATTGGGGTCGGCCATTAATAGAGACACCAGCCTCCTCGATCGGTGTTGACATAACAACAATGCCCTGTGCCTTGGGATCTCGGCTGATCTCCCTCGCTGATCATTAACTGGCGTTTGTCTGTTGTGATCAGTTCTCTGCCAACCGGATTAGGGGCACCCAGCTGAGTGCATTACATCAAACTTAGAGCTGCATAAGCAACTTAAGAGAGATGATGTTCAGTCTACAAATGAAGCTGTAGATGAAACTGGAGATCTCTGGATGCGTTGTAGAAGAGAGAAGCTATCTACAGGTTTAGCTAGACTAAGTACTAGGAGCAAACAAAGAAGTCATGTGACTTCTAACACAACTAGCATGATCCGATGCGGAGTCATTACATTTCCTGCGTAGCGGTCGACTCAAAGCTGACAGAGGGGTAGCCAGCGTGGTGAAGTGGGGCACCAGGGGCCAGCTGATGAGCGAATCCTGAGTCTTATCACTTCATTCAGTACTACTTTCAACTCGAAGGCCTAGAATCTGGCACTAGCTGGGTTAGAAACACCCACCTGCGTGCTATTGATCTGGTTAGTCTCGAACATATAACTTCACATGCTATGTATATTGCCTGCGCATTGGCTAGGTGCATCGGTCTTTAAGTTGCCGATATCCTTTCCTTCTCGACCACAAAGGATATTATTGGTGCATACTTTGTCCCGCACTGTGGAATTGGAGAATTCCAGAGTGGAAACTTCTATCCGGGACGTATAGCCTGCGAGCTAGCCGAAAAATACAAAAAGGGCTACTACATGAATGTCGCGTCTTTTATGGTGATGGTTGCGCCTTGGTTGCGCACTCTAGGCTGGAAAAAAGCGACGCCTGGTCAAATGATAATTTGGCAGGCTGAAAACCCAATGCCTCAATACAACCTCCGACTGAAATCCAAATTGCTCTTTCAAGTTATCAAAGCCGATCTGATCGGAATGGGAAATACCCGAGGTTTAGTCCTCGAACTTGCCATTCAAGGGCAACGACACTTGTTAACTGTGACTTCCATGATAATATGCAGGGAAAGCTTGCGGATTCTTGTAGCGCTTTCGAGTGATAGGGGCATCATTCTTGTTTCATTTTTCCAATCGGGAGTTTCTTTCATTTCTTCGTCACTAACATTTGCTAACTTGACCAGCCCTAAGACACCTTCCACATCCAGCACCCAGATGACGCGGATCACCCGCAACAATATTAGTCCAGATCAAGTTAGCTATTCTGTAAATTTCTGTCAATCTATTTCGGATATATGCCCACAAAGCACCGTTACAATTGGCTTGGTTCCAGGCACTCTGCGCCAACATCCGGGAATAGGTAAGAGAAGTCACCCGTAACCCGCTCCGAAACCCGCGTGTACAGTACCCAAGATAACTATCGCGGGGTTTCAAAATTCAAACTCCCGACTCATCTGCGGGTCAGGCTTTCTTGGGTTTGGGGCAGGATAATACATTGGCGCTTTATTAGTATTTGCACCCTGGTACCTTTCTATTGACGCCTGCCCATTCTTACCGGTATACACTCCCAGGGGCATGGTGTGCGTGATTGCATTCTTTTTATACGACAGAATATCTATAATTACAAAATGACCATAAATCATATCTCGAAAACAAATATGAAATCACTAAGCCAGTGACTGGTCACTCGATCAACCTGTCAACTCTCCCGGCGGTGCATCCGTCTTTATCGATGACTACTACCAAACCGGGTCCTGCTTCGCAGCCAAAAGAACCGAGCTTATACACATCACCAGGAAAAGACGCGAACAGCTCCGGGGCCAGACAGAGTGTCGCGGGTCAGGACGGTCGAGGCCGTGCTGGACTGGGCTGAGAAGTTTCGAAGCCGCGCCCCGCAGGGGCAGCCTAACAATTCGAAAGGCAGTAAGGCCATAAGAGGCCTTGACGAGGCTCTAAGCTGACCAATGAACGCGCTCGGTAACATGTAGAACAGCAGATCCTGGAGGTTTGTCATTGTAATACCAAACCTGATTTTTTACAGTGATTCTCTTTGATGTGTTGCCTAGCCATAGAGGTTTCGGAAATAATTGGCAACAGCCGTAAATCTATATTGTGATCGTCTAAGAGCTCAGCAAAATCTCGACCCTAGAACTTGTCGTGTTGTTAGCATTGTCTCAAGAAGGGAAAATGACCGAGACTAGTGAGATGCCTCTCTATTTGTCTAGTCGCTTCAGTGCCGAAATGGCTCTCGTCATTTTAATGCTTTTTCAAATCTGCCACCAGACGCCCAGAATCCGCTAGTCAGCTCGATGTTTCTCAAGTTCCTGTACTGTAGGAATAATATTAACGGACGGCATTCATTACTGCTGGCACGATATCCGCAGCAGGAGACTCCGAGCCGCTCCGGATGACCTCCGCTGTGCGTAGAACGAAGCAATCACATTATAAGCCTGGCAGCTGTGGCTTCTGATATAAAGAGCCAAGGGTGAGCTGATTAGAACAGACGGTGTGCTAGTTTCTATTTTCGAGTGTGAGTCATATCATCTGCTTATGTGCTGTTTCTAGCTCACACTACAGTGTTCATGAACTAAAGGCTTAAATAGTTTCATGTCAGTTTCGTCCCCGGCTCTATTCTGCTGATCACTTTGGCATTTGTCATTTTCTCAAGGTTCGAATTTTGACATACAATGAATTTTTGAGGGAGATCCTAACTCTTATTATCTAGTGATATAACCCATTGCTAGTGATCGAGAACGATGAACGCCGCTTATTTCCTCGTCAAAACCAAATTCGGCACCTGCCGTGTCGCAGAGAGCCTCCAACAATTCCACGTCCCATGGGAAGAATATCTAAGAAAGCGGAAAGAGGAGTGTAACCCCCAGGATGATATTCGCAAAGTATCTGGGATCAGTGTGAGAGGTTGGCTCTGCAGATGGCAGAGGGGAAAAATACGGGTCTCCCTGGGACAGCGTGCTAAGCATGATTTTTCACCAAAAATGTACGAGCCATGGGGGGGGGGGGCAAAGTTGATCCCGGAGAAACGATATTAGAAGCTTTGGTTCGGGAATTCCTGGAAGAGACTGGTCTGAAATTTACTTGCATACATGATCAAGTGGGCAACGACTTGTTTCATACACCAAAAAGTAAGAGATGGATTGAACAAATTCATTTCATAGTTGAAGCCATGAAGTCTCGAAAATCTCTCTTGTCTTCTGACGGTAGATCCTACCTCATCGTCATGGATCCGAATGAGCATCAACATTTAATGTGGGCTCCTGGTAGACTTGACGCATTGGGAAATCTTGTCATGACGGGAGCTACCAGAAGCCACTTTGAACCAGCAATTGCAAAGTTCAGGGAGAAGGTTCCTTGTCCCAAGTGGCAGAAGCCTTTGGCCTTTTTCTAGGGGTGCATTTGAATGGCTAGATATTCGAATTCTAAGGAATAAATAGAGTGACTCCACTCCGGGTAGTAGATTTGGAATTGATTAAGTGTAGCTCAAAATACACTTGCATATACCCTGGATAAATGGGATTTATTGTGGAGACTAGAATGGAAGGAATCTGGCGATCCAGCCAGTACTTAAAAGGTCTCTAAGGTAGTTGTGTTAGAGATACTAGAGATCTACGATGAATGTAGATGTAACTGGAAATCTCTTGATGCGTTGAGAGAGAGAGAGAAACTATCTACATGCTATGACTGAGACTAAGTACTGGGAGCAAACAGTGGTGGTCACGTGACCTTCCAACAAGTTGTATTTGAGTCCCCGAATTAAGGATAGCGTTCAAACCCCGAGATGACATGTCATTCACTGAGAAATAGGAGTTTCAACGTGCTGTCTCCAAGATATGGTCGTGGATAAGGGAGCTGTACGGTAGCGGATAAGGATCATAATCCAATCAAAGACTATCAAAATCCGATAAAAAACATTATCTAAACCAAAAAGCACAATCTAGTAGCCGGGCGCTAGGTCCGCCGAGGTCACCTCACACTAACGCATTAGAGAACAACGTACGCTGCCGACGAAGACGACGAGGTATAGCGCCACGACCCGAACCTATTCGTGTTCGACCTACCGGAGTGATATAGTAAGTAGACCTAGCAGTCCCAGTGATATAGGGACTCGGTGACTTAGGGAGCTAGATAAAGAAGTGGAGGTAGGGAAGTAAAGAAGTAGAAGGTGTATTACAGAGAAAGAAGGGGACACTCTATGCCCATAGGGACTACGGGAAACTATCTACACCGGGCAGATAGCTACTTTCGATATCGTCATTTCTTTTGTCTTATTTAAATTACGCCGGCCGGTTTATAGCCTTACTTTTCAGGTGATAGGTCCTCGAGATATCGAGTCCTATTTACAGGGTAGATCTACATACTGGAAATACACCACCATTTATCGTCGGGAGCGGGCTCTAGCACGCAACCCCCGCATAGCAGCATATATAGAATAGCGAGCTAAGTCGGGTCAATGAATTCATCATCATACTCTAGCGCGATGCGAACACACCTAGGGCAAGTTCAACCCTGGGGACAGCCTAAAAAATTGTTTTATGCCTCGGTTCTGGAACACGATAGTTACATTGATTAGCAGCTAGTTCAGTTCCCGGGTTGCTGTAAATGGGAGACGAAAAGGATGATGTCATACGCTTCTTGTGTGTTACACAAGGTGACTTTTTTGCAGTTTAGGCAGAGGTACATATCTGATTCGATTTTGGTTCAAACCCTGTTTTACTTGTAGTACGGCTGATGCATTAGACCCGAATGAGAACCGTAATCGGCGTAAGTCTAATGAACCGATCTACGTGGTCCAATGAATAGGCACCCAGAAAAATGTTTGCGCGTTCTGAGGCACGGTTGCCAAATTGATCAGCACGATGATTGATGTCTGGAAACAGTATTCACATTAATAGTCACCTGAGCAAAATGGAATATTTAATATTGGGATAAGCCATGTCTTTCTACATGTTTTATGCACAAGGAAAGCAGCAAGCCTTGATGTATACGTGAAAGTACAACAATTTATAGAGGATTTCAATTTGACCTTTTCTCCAAAGAGCCTTGAAGAAAATTCACCGTTCAGCATGACTGTCAACACAAAAGAGCTGAGACATGAAGATTACAATCCTTGTAGCTTCGATGTGATTATAGTCGGCGCCGGGTACGGAGGTATCAGCGCCTTGTATCATCTTCGCAAGCTTGGCCTCACCTGTCAAATTGTGGAGAAAGGGGCAGACATCGGTGGCGTTTGGTACTGGAATAGATATCCAGGGGCCCGTACAGATTCTGGCATACCGTCTTATGAGCTCAACATTCCAGAATGTTGGAAGACTTGGAAATGGAGCAGCTGTTTCCCTGATCACACTGAGATTAGACAATTTATGGACCACTGTGATCGGCAAATTCACATTCGAGAACACGTTCTGTTCAATAGAACAGTTATCGGTGCACAATTTAGCCAGTTATCGCACGAATGGAAGGTCAGTCTTGACAATCTGTCAACATTGAGCGCCAAGTACCTTGTTTCCGCTATCGGGGTGACATCCCAAAGGCCCACTCTTATGGACAAGGACCTGAAGCTACTCAATGGCGAAGTCTATTTTCCTTCCAATTGGCCACACCGAGAAATTTCCCCTGAAGGCAAGGATATCGCGATCATCGGCACTGGATCCACGGCTGTCCAAATCGTTCAAGACTGGGGTCCGCGAGCGAAGTCATTAGTTGTTTATCAGCGTTGTTACAACACTGCTTTACCGATCCCGGTAGTTCCATTCGATGAAATCGAAGGTCAAGACTCGATAGAGAAGCAGGAAAAAGCGATCGCATTTCGAATGAAAACCCCTTCCGGTCTAGCGATTTGGGAACCACAAAAAATCTCAACTTTTGATGTTTCAGAGGAAGAGCGTGAAAAGAAACTCAATCAGCTTTTTGACAGAGGACTGAGCTTTTGGGTATCCGGCTACAATGACCTTACAACCAATAAAGCCGCAAATCGGGTTGCTTATGATTTCTGGGCAAGGAAAACAAGAGCGAAGATCCATGACCGGAGAAAGCGTGATGCACTTGCACCCTTAGAGCCCACTTATCTCTTTGGAATCAAGAGACCAGGATTGGATAATGGATACTTTGAGCAGTTCAACCGCCCTAACGTTGACGTTGTCAATCTGCGCGATACTCCCATCGCATCCTTTGTCCATGATGGAATTGTCACAACGGAGGGCAAATTTCGTCATCATGATATGGTAATCCCTGCCATTGGATTCAAAAATGTCATTGAGAACATGAAGTCATTGGGAATCAAAGGGCTGGACGGCGTTTCCCTCGGGGAAGGCTGGGCCGATGGAGTTCGAACCTATCTTGGGTTAATGCTCTATGGATTTCCCAATTTTTTTGTGTTATGCGGACCGCAAGCTCCTAGTGAACAAAGCAATTTGCCTACGTGCATTGACGTACAAGTCAATTGGATTGCCAAGATGATTGATCGGATTGAGAAGGATGGCCTGGTAGGCATCCACCCTTCACCCGAGGCAATGCAAACATGGAATAGAAAAGTTTACGCGGCATTCAAAAGCGATTTTTATGGAAAAGTTTCTTGTCGTTACGCATTACTGGGAAATCCTATTTACTACAGTGGGGGCATTCCTAATTACTTGAGGGAAATCAGTCAAGGAGACTCAACTTGGGCTAACTTTGAGGTAATAAGAGACGAAAGCATCAAAACGCTTTCCAATGCTGAAGAAAAGAGATCAAGAGGTGAAAGTTAAAAGATCGATTGGTTTAAGGGTCTGCTTCAAGGTTATCTCAACAACCACGTTCTTGAATTATCCAACTTTTTGTCGACAGCTTTTGACAAAACTTATTAGCACTTTTGCGTCTGTTTCGAAGAAATCAACAATTCTTAGTAGTGTCGTTTCAAGCTTTGCCGAAAACTAGGAGCTGCAAATATTTAAATCTTAGTGAGAAAGATTAGAAAATCTAATAAGCTCCCTCAAGAGGCTATATTTTACCTATTGGGCACTAGGCTAGAGGAGAAGGATCTTTTAGACCAACGTGGTCAAGAAATCAAGTTGTAATTAATCTACTGCATTTACAACGTGTTTTGGAGATGGCTATTCGCTTGTGAAATGCGTTTAATAGTGTCGTTTTCTATAAAAATCAAAATCCTTCCTCCGCGTTAGATTTCGAGAATCAACACCAGCGTTAAATTAATCAAGCTAGACTGATGTGATTTACATGGATTGTTTCTGTTATTTGAGCTAGTTCGAAGGGTGAGAATTTTCGAATTGCTACTAGATATTTCTCAGGTGGGTAAATCAAAAGATACCTAAATTGTGGATTGGGTATCTGGTGAAAGTTGGGGATCTTCAAGAGCGCACCATTACCCGGTAGATGTAGTCAGATCTGAGCATATTAATAGATTGTCCCATACTATTGTTATTCACCTGGATTTTTTCACTTGGTTCCGGAATCCTCTACAAAAAAACTGGATGGCCACATTATTAGAGCTCAATTTCTTCCCAAAGAACATCATCTTAGAGGCAGGTACGTTGCGAGAGACTCTTCCATTTTATTGTTCTCACAACTTTTGGGCAGTCATAGGAAATCGGTCAGAAAGCCGAACTCGTCGGCAGGCAACTGAAAATGCCACCGGAGAATTCAGCCGACATCAGCCAAAGCCCTGAGGAACGAGCTGCCCAAGCCTACTCCGTGCATATCGAAAGAGACAGCATATACCCCTGGAATGGCATCGCTCGCTTACTCCATGTGGAGAGCTTCCAGATCCATTCCCCGAGAGCAAAACAAGTGGAGCCCACGCTGTGCAAAATGCACCGAATATCCCGAATACCCCGTTCCCGTTGTGCCCCAGCTTTGGCGTCCCCGCTACAGAGAACCTCTTCATACTATAAATCGGCCATAGCTTGACCGGGTTATTGATTCTACTGCGAAAATCACTTACATACATCATGGGAACAAGTCCTCGTCAGCTTAATCGAGCTTGCATCATTGGTCTTGATTTACATTATAGAGAAACTATCTGGCGCAATTGCCAATGCAAGACCAATGATTGGTCCGCAGGGCCTTCACCCCTCATAGCACAATGAAGAATTCAATATCCAAGTGACTAGATGCATGCAGTAGAGAAATTTACTTTAGGATTTGAATTTGTGGGCTTAGATTGCTTTTGTGATTTCACAAGCTACACGCTAGTCTGTCAAGGATCGTCATGTCGCTCGTTTGTGCGGGATCCACTGTGATATTTCTTGTAGTCATATTTTCAATTGCAACTTTAGCAATCTGGAGCTGCTTGGCTCCTGTTTTCGCCCAATCAGTTGGGGAAAAGCTATCCTACCTTAGCCAGGTCTACTGATCAACACCACCAAATGTCAAATTTGACATCGAAGGTTAGTCTGTTCTGTATTCCTAGACTGGACTCGCGCCCAAACTCGATTTTTCAAAGTTAGGCCGTATAGTCAGAGAGTGCTCTATGGATGTGGAGTCCGCACCCCATCAATGTACATTGACGGAAAACTATAGTGCAACAAGGTATAGCACGAACATTTGATGCAAATACAATTATAGTATGTATGCAGGTAAAACAGTATTCAATTGGATGGACGGGGAGAGAGAGAAGGTGAGAGTGGAAGGAAGACTATCTAGTTGGTCTATCCTACATGTGATGCCTGAGGCAGCCAACAACATTGGATTCGTATATCATAATCTCATTAAAATGATAAAACCGCTTCTTTTCCAATCTGTACGGGACAAGCTGAGTGAATAAATCATGCAGTGTGTAGAAACTGTACCATCACGGCGGTTAGGGCATTTCCCGGGGTTTCATGCTCTGTTTCTAACCATGCATTGTAACGTCGTATCTGAAACTATTAAAGAAATGAATTTTATTGAGGCTCTAGTCAAAGATTTGGGGTTAGCCAGTGCGATGTCTTCAGGGGGGGTTTATGCTCCAAACCCACTCTGTAGTACGGATCTAGTGCTATGGTGATTGCGTATTCGACCGCAATCTTCGAGGTAGATATCCTAGCTTTTAGAACACTCTCAATTCTGGTACGTTGCTTAGGGGATAGCTCACTCTAGATACCCCTCTTTCAGAGATCTAAACACCCAAGGAGTGTATTGTGGGTGTAGGAAGAAAAATCAAAACAGGGTGGTTGGGGGGGCGACATGCGAGGTGCTAAAAAATGTGGGAGTTGTCGCAGGACTTATTGAAGGGATGTCAATCAAACATCAATTTTACTTGTCCCAAGTCGATCATCCACTGGCACTCTGTGAGGATATTCTTTTTCAACTTCAAAAACTTCATCACTCCTCCGCACCTCCTGGATCGTCATCTAGCGTGCAAACTCTCGATTTTGTCGTTCAGCCAAGGTCGCCAAGATGTTAGACCATGTAGATGCCGAGAAAAATGTGCAGAAGATCATATCGGCAACAGGTCAGTCACCCATATTCCAAGTGCATGATTTCTACGTTAAATCTTTAGGGTTTGACGTGCTAAATCTGTTGTATAGAGCACGAAGTGGCTCCTTCCTATGAGTTACAGCACTCCCATGACTCTGAAGACCATGAGCCCATCCAAGAACGCTATGGAAACCCTTCGTACTCTAGATTCCACCGAGTGGCGTCCAAAACGGTTATTTCATTCGGGCCCAATGACCCAGAAAACCCCGTCAACTGGAGAACGGTATGTGGGGATATTCTCTAAAAGAATTGAAGCAAGGCGACGAAGAGAGTATTGATGCGTCCACCAGGGGAAGAAGTCCCTTGTTATCGCAGCTGGTATCTTGCAGGTCATGAACAGTACTATCGGCTCGTCAATTTGTAGTAACGCCATCCCCCAAATTGCAGCAGAATTCAACATCACCAACGAAACAGTCCTCGTTTTGCCCATCTCCATCTTTCTCATCGGCTATATTGTAGGACCATTATTATGGGGTCCTAGCTCTGAGTATTTTGGTCGGAAGGCCCCTTTGCTCATCTCATTCGTTTTATTCATGATATTCACGATGGCGTGCGCTGTGGCAGATTCTTATGCATCTCTGCTTGTCTTCCGATTATTGAATGGCATGGTCGCGTCGGCGCCTATCGCTATTGTCGGTGCATCGTTTGCCGATATACATAACGACCCCACGTTGCGAGGTCGCCTGATTGCTTATTTCATGGCCGTAAGCTTGCTGCACAGATTTAACTAGAGTTGTTGGGTCCAAGCTAATTGTTTAATAGTGTACAGTCTTCGGACCAACTATCGGACCTTTGCTATCTGGCTTCGTGGCAGCTGTAGGCTGGCGTTGGTGTTTTTGGATTGGTCTGATTTTTTCCGGCGCTACTTTGCCACTGATTATCTTCATGCCTGAAACTTATGCCCCGGTCATTCTGGAGCGTCGTGCACAGAAGCTACGCAAAGAGACTGGCAATTTAAGCATCATATCGCCGTTGGAGATTCAGATCCGCAATGTGCGAGAAATGCTTGTTAGCACAATCTCACGACCCTTGCGCATGGTTATTCATGAGCATATCGTTTCTCTAAGTTCTTTGTATCTTGCTTTGGCATATGCAATCTTCTACCTCTACTTTGAGGCATATCCAATCATCTTCCAAGGTTGGTAACCCACCCCAGATAGTGTGTGCAAAACCCTGTTGGGGCCAAAAACTAACAAATATCATTCAGGTATCTACAAAATGAGCCCTGGTGTGTCAGGCTTGATGTTTCTTCCTAGTAAGCTTCTCCACACACGCATTTTTTCAAGTCAAAAAGTTTTATATTCTGATGTCAATACAACAGTCGGCATTGGTGCTGTCCTTGCCTTTTTGATCTTCATATGGTACGATGGCTTCTTAGCCCGAGCAAAGGCCCGCAACGCCAGCTGGACCTCCATCGAGGAATACCGCAGACTCCCCCTCGCCTGCATCGGCGGACCCCTATATGTGATCTCCCTCTTCTGGATAGGCTGGACAGCCTCGCCTAACATCCACTGGGTTGTGCCCTTCCTCTCCGGCATCCCGTTTGGAATGGGCTTCCTGTTGATCTTCATGGCTATGCTCAACTACCTGACCGATGCCTACAAGACCCTCTCCGCTAGCGCACAATCCGCCGCAAGTTGTACACGAAGCATTCTAGGTGCTGTGCTCCCGCTCGCTGCTAAGCCGATGTTCGACCGGCTCGGCGTGCCTTGGGCTTGTAGTTTGATTGCATTCCTCAGTCTGGGCGTTTCATTAATCCCGTTCGCTTTCATTCGCTATGGCGACCGCATCAGAACAAACAGCAAGTTCTGTCAGGAGCTCAAGTAAATCAAGGAGTCTGAGCGGTTGGGGTGAGAGAGAGAGGACTGTCTCACAAATGGTGATGATACCCTGGAGCCTTTTTCATTCCACAATACTGGAATTTCGACGACGAGGATCAATGCTGCTCGCACTGATAAAGTGTCGATAATTTGTTGAAGATGGTCAGCGGTTTATTGTCTGAGGTTCAGTGCTTCTCACGATTTACCTTATCGAGGATTGTCTCCATGACTACTTTCTTGACATGTGTTGGGACGTTTCATCTGATATTCTATAATTTTTGATTTCATCGGTTTGTCGATTCGAAGTTTGAATTTTCTTTCCACGAGGCGAGTGACATGACCATGATCACATACTTGAAATGTTTGAGCAGCACGGGACCTCCAGCAACTGCTTCAAATCACGCTCCTATCGAATGGAGAGAAACGAACAGGTCCTTGCATTTTCATTTAGGTTTTGCTTTTTGTGCCCCATGTTGAGACATCCCACCATAATATCTACCTAGGACAAGAGATTGTATCGGGCGAGCGCTGCTTGATATTCAGATTGCTTTTATTAACTTCTATCAGGAAGATCCTAGAAATTAGTATTAGTCTAGTTGTAATGAATTTGAATTTCTTCCCTTTCTTGTTCGCTTCAAACCTTTCTAGCCTCGTGAAGTCCCTAAAGTCACAACGTCATAAGCTACCACAACCCATGCGAAAAAGTTCCACAACACACCCTCACTGGCCGTCTCTTGAATGGATAGTTATCGGTGTTCACCAAATTCCTAGACACGGTATGTGGTATTCCTACAGCCTGATAAGGATCTTGCTTCTAACACAAGTCTTCAGGCGAGTGGCATTGTTACAATCCGAGCATTTGGTTGGAAAGAAAAATCTGTGAACGAAAATATCAAGTCATTAGACTTGTCTCAAAAGCCTCTCTACATTCGTCTCTCCCTATAGTGCTGACTGAAGCTAATTACGGATTGTCTTGTTATGAATCTTGCAGTGATCTTGATTGCTTTCACCGTTCTACATCGGAATACGACCAATGTTGCCGAGCTTGGCATGGCTTTATATTGGCTTATCGTCGCAAACGCGACACTCCTACGGCTCGCACGGTCATTGATATCTCTGGAAAATTCTTTAGAATTTGTTGCTCGACTAAAGAGCATACAAGACTTTGTACCCAGTGAGGATGACGTCGGAGTTACTCTAGACCCTGACGATCCCAAAGCGATCAGATTCAGTATCTGACCTGAAATGGCTCTCTTCCGGAAATTTGCAGGTCAATGTTATCTCCGTCGTCTATCCAGAATCTGCGGCACGCGCTCAGCCGAACACCGCTGCGAATTCGATCCTCTAGTCCAACGCTACAAACAGTACCTCTCGTAGAAAAATCTAGTTGATTCGCGCCTATAGCTGTCCATGCACTTGAAAAGGAAGCTTGACGGAAATTCTTCAAGTTTCGATTTGACATTCTCTAATTGCCGAAGAAATCGCAGCATGTATCGTTCTGAGGTGTGCCCGGGGAAATGGCAAATTTTATCCCTTTTTGCTAAGGAATCAACATTGAACAGTCCGGCACTGGTCGCAACTATTCGAAAACGCGCTGTGAATACTTGTTCAAGTACTACGGCACGGTTGATTTCTCTTGTATCGAATAAAAACTTGATCGAAGACTTCGTACTTGCTGGACAACAGAAAAAGAAAATGACCCTTTAGTCCAGATGTGCAAAATATGTACCCCTATACGGCTGAAACATAACCACCATGTGATCTGTTAAATTGTAGCCCAGTTAACAATATCCTGTGCCACCAAAGTCCCTGTCAAGGACACATAACCCCTATTGAAGATCGTGTTTCCGTAAATATGTGCAGGGCAATTTCTAGCGGCTGGAGCGCTACTGATGCAAAACAAGCAAAGGCCCCGAGTAGACAGAAGATCCACCTGGGTATATACAACTCAACGAGGGAGAACAGCTGCAAGTCATCTAAACGTCTGTGTGTAAGAAACAGGTAACAGAAAAAAAAAGAGAAAAAAAATTAGAAAAAAACGACTTTGCGGATCTGACGGGGCGATTGCACAAAGCCTCAAGTGACTTGCATTGGTCTGCACTTTAAATGTTGTGATCCAGATCTAGAACGAAGACTTCACGAATTCAAGATATAAAGAATATAGTTGAGGTACAGACTCTATCAAAACCTTGGAAAAAGTCTAGCTGGAGGAATTGATTCGGCCGTGTGGATGTATTATGTTGATTAAATAGCAAGGAGAGGATTCTGTGCGGAGTACGGCATACGGAACACTAGAACACTATATGCTCCGTACAGCGTTACCGACTCATCTAGCTATGAGTGAAATGCGCAAACAAGCAAAGATCATTAGCTGTTGCGAAATACTATGCTTAGTAGATCGATCCGATGCTAGTCATGGTGATCTATGAAATATGAACAGGGGCACATCAGCCTGGAATGAAGCCATGACGGAGAAACCAAAAAAAGCAGGGAATAGGGCAATCCCAAAATATCAAGAATTAAAGTTGAGACCCAGAAATAGAAAGAACTTACGTCGTTCATCGGGTCCGAGATTTTTTTTTTAAAAAAAAAGAAAAAGAAAAAAAAAGAATTAGCGGCAAACGCGCTTTGCGTGAAAAAGGGGATGTGCGGTTGTAGCGGGAACCCCAGCTGTAGTCTGTGGAGCCTCTTTAAAAAGGGTATTTGGTTTGTGGCCCGGTGATCGAGAGTGAGACCACTTTTACTTTTAAAATTTACGCTTTGGTTTCTTTTTTTAAATGAATTTTGAGGCTAAGTGTGAGGGTGACCAATGCAATGACAGCGTAAGCCCAGCTTCAAGCCGAACAAAATGAAGGTCCTGTAGTCATCCTGGTATCTTTGAATTGGGGCTGATGTGAGGAGACCGGACCCGTTGGAGGAAAAAGAAAAAAAAAAGCCAGAAAAAGCCCCTTGAGATCCCCACACAAAAGGGATGACTATGATAGGTCAGAATCATTCCATGTGCCCATCTACCTAGCTCGGATGTGATATGCACCTGAACTAGATCGGTCCCCGGCTCATCCGCCGAGCCAATTAGATCTCACATGTCAGTCAACAATACCGGTATTGATTAATAGCTGAAGCTGGACCTGCGTGACCCCAGATCAAACATTCGGTCCTTTCGGACTTTGATCGCAAACAGGAATTGGCAAGCGCCCTACGCGGTTTGAATCATGTATTGGACATTGTTGTGCCGACATGATCCGAAGCCTATCTAGTAAATTATTTAGGCAAGAATCGTTCCCCCCTAGTGAGCTAGCCATAGCGGTTTATGGGACGGTATAAACGTGCTTGACAGTTAAAGGAAGCTAAAACCAGCCGTCTGTGTCTAGATCGTGGAGACCCTACGGAATTGATCCCGGCAACTATGGGCCCAGATGGCTTCCAAGTACGGAGTGCTCCGACTGGTAAGATCAACAGCCAGTTAGCAGGGCTTGGTTGTAATCCATCTCCACTTATATCGACTCGGAGCTGATTATTTATGCACAGCCCTGAATGTCAGTTCTTTCTCTGGAACTTTTGGAAATTCAATTTTTCTAAAAAAATCCAAAAAAAAATCCAAAAAAAAATTTGTCTGGCATCATGTGGCTGACAGTTCTCCCCGGTGAACTCTGACTTTTTTTTTTGCGGGGAATCCCTGGGCGTATCACAGCAGTTCCGTAGGCACAACTTCGCTGAATGAGGCATGTGGAATGCAGCTGCCATACCTTGGGGCTATTCTTTTTTTGTGCCTAGTGAATCTGACTTGAAATTATCGTCTGGTGATCTTCTCCTTTGCTGCCTGTTCCCGATGGTGACTTCATAGCCTATCTTAAAAATCATATTTATATCGTCTAGTCTAGGCCATAGTTCATCATCTTCACCTTTTCAAACACTTTCATTTTTTTATCGTTTCTTGTCCTTGAGCGTTCTTGATTAATTGCCTTTCAATTCCAAAAAAACAGTCGGAACGACCTATACTTGAAACATTTGAATGGAAAAAGGATGACCACCTTCTCACTAGTTGCGATTCCAATCTTCGTCTTTCTTTTTGCGGCTAGATACCAAAAAGAACTCTTACAGTTGTTATCACACAGTTTGAAACGGAAAAGTGGTTCAAAAAATGTCTCCAATCCATCCGACGTCAAGCGTATGGCACCATACCCAGCACAGCCCATCAGAGGCAGAGAGCGATATCGCATCATGATGGACATTCGCAAACTGGACGCCCAGAATTGGCTTACCATTGACAAGAACTATATGAATGAACATCGGGTCCGAACCCAATTGCTTCACGAAAAAAAGGAACAGGTCCTGCGCTGTTTACCCGAGTCAATAGGTCCGTGCCAGGAAGCATTGGAAGAAGTTTCAGATTTTCTCTGTGAAAGGTTCCCCAATATGTTCGAAATGTCAGTCAAAGACGACCGAAAGATCGTTGAAAATCGGATGACCAGCGATAGTTTCACTGTCAGCGGGCGCAACCCCAAAGAGGGATTCACCGAGGCACTCGAGGCTGCTGTCCGTCTCACGATGGAGGATCTTAGTATTTTGATGATGAATAAGGAGGGGGAATTCTACCTGTATGTCCAAATCCATGCATAGAAGCCATATTCGCCAACCCTAACACCATCATAGGGCAGCTAGTGCCAGTCTCTTCCCAACGGGGTGGACAGTGAACCAGAGAATTGGCTGGACCATCTCTCAACTGCATGGCCCTGTGCCACTATGGCACCAACAAGTCGGCAACTCCGTTAGCAAGTAAGTGATCTTCAAATGAGACGAAGCAGAACAGCCAACAAAGAGAAAACAACAAACTAACCACCATCCTTAGATTCCTCGCCCGCTTAACCCCCGAATCTCCAATGGAACGATCAAATTACTTCGTCGAAGTCAAGGGGCCAAACGAAAACCTGACCGAAACCCTCTACCGGCCTGGCTCTCTCTGCGAGAAAGAGCTGAGCAGCCCACTACCATCAGACATCCTGATCCGTCGCGAGAGGCAGACTTTCCGTCGTCTACCGCGGACAGGGGCGATCGTGTTCGGTGTCAAGACGTATCTCACACCTTTGGATGAGCTTCCCATGGCTGAGCTAGATAATCTCGCTAAGGAGATGAAGAGTTGGCCTGATTATGTGGGTGAGTATAAGGGGAGGGATGTTTGGGGGGCTAAAGTTTTGGAATACTATCGGAAACAGGTTGGCCAGGAAAAGAAATCAACCGAGAAAGATGGGAGTAATGAGGGTTGAGTGGACAGTGTATCATTTTGTTTTCTTTTCGCATTTTGGCTCCGGGGGATCAACATTGGGTCGGGTTTTTGGTTAACAACGCAAAAGTTGTATTCTCTTTTTCTTCCTGAACTGTGTCCTACTCTTGCGTTTCCCGTGTACTAGGGCTTCTAAACTGATTCTATTGAATTGATAACGCTATCATGCGGTGAGGATGGCTAAGAATGGCCAGCTTCAGTACATAGTAAAACCGCAGGAAGTCCAGGAGGAACCAAACCCAAGTCTATAATATAAGTGAAGGTATGCAAACAGAAGGGAAAGCGATAGGAGAAAGATAATTTCTTCAAGTTAGGGGTATAGTATAAGCTCTTTAAATCTTCGACAGTGGCTTGTCTTGCTTTAACCGCACCACACCCTATAATCGAATTAGCATCAAATCCCAGAACAAACAAGAAGAAAATTTATACCTCTTGAATGCAGGTAGCAATGAGCAGCCCGTCCTTAGACCAAATCTTCTGAATTGCCAAGCCTCGTCCTTCGCCAGCCCACGGACTCTCAGTCTCCGTCAGCATCCACTCATCGGCACGGAAGGCCCGGGGATTGTGGAAGTAAATTGAATGGTCCAGGCTAACCATCATGCCAATTTCTTTATAATCTGCCTCGTTTTGGCCCGTCGTAGCCCTATTGAAAGCCCCCTCTAGACGGCGATGTAATTCTGCTGCCTCCTCTTCTTTCAACTCCTTTAGAGCTCGCGTGATATCCTCATCATCCAGATCGGATGGATTCTTCAGTGCGTTCAGAAGTTTCTCGAGTTCGGCCGGGGAAGAGAATCGAGGGATATCGTGGACGAGTGAGATGGTACCGATGAAATAGCTGTCGGTAATGTAGGCTAGCGCCGACAGGTGTGCTTGGTAACCGCCATGTTCGGAGATTGCGCCGCGGGCGCGAACGTATCGCCGGACTTTCTTATCTTCTTGATTGGGAGATGTGCCTATTTGATTCCGTTGGCTATAAGTACAACCTGCACATCATGGAGCTTCCGGTCAGGGACGTACGGTTCAAAATGCCCGCCTTTCTCGATTCAATCGGACCACTACCCGCATTGCTGAGGGCCTTCAGACTTCCCGGCTCAGCCTCTTCGGGCAATGGGATGTCTGGTATCGATATGGCGTGGTCAAGCGTCTTCTTCCCACCACTGCCGGCCAGGCTGAAGCTCAGTGTAGTGGTGAAGATCGGCCGCCCCCGTTGCCGCGCCTGCACGGTTCGGGTCACAAAGCTCCTCCCATCACGTACCCGCTCGACATGGTACAGAATTGGGATCTCGGAGTCACCGGCAAGCACGAAGTAGCAGTGCATGCTGTGAACAACGTAGTCGGCGGGGACGGTCAGCATGGCTGCTGAGAGGGACTGCGCGATCGCGGCTCCGCCGTAAATTCCTCGAGCTCCGGGGGGATGCCATAGCGGGCGAGTATTGGTAAAGACATCCTAGAAATTAAGAGTAATTTGTGAATATGATCCATTTCGCGATCAAGGAATTGAGGAATGTCATACTCGGCCGAGGTCCACCACTGGCGTCAGATCGAGTACATTCTCGATCAGAGCCTTGGAATGATCCTGCGCTGGCGGATCGAAGATTGTCACGCGCTTTGACATTGTAGTTTGTATCCAGGAGAGATAAGTGTTAAAGGGGTTAAATGCTCAACTGAATATCAGGGATGACGGTTTCTCTGGAGGTTTGAAATGCGGTCGGCCCCTGCAAAAAAACAGCCGAGGTCCAAGTGGGGATTTCTCCACTACGGGTCTTCAACATTGTCCTCCGTACATCTTGTGCATTTGGTGCAGCTAAACGAGCGGGAAATAATATATGATTCAATTTAATCTCAAACTAAATTACTCCCGAGGTTGTACACTTTTTTTTAAATTATCATATCCGATGTTTGCTGCGCTATGATATACTTCAAGGAGTCAACTGACTCCAGCCCTTTTGCGCTCTCTCCTTAGGTAAATCGAAGAGAGAAGTGTTTCGCACAAGATCAAGCAATGGTGCACCGGTGTTTTGTTCCCTCAAGAAACCAAGCAATTGGAGAATTGTATCTCTTCCTCGGTGAGTAGCGGTGTGCCTTTCTCCACTCAGTAACGTCCATATTATCGGGATATCAAGGTCCCTGCGAGAGCGTAAGACACCAAGAAAGCAGTGGGTAAGCAGAGATTTATAGTTTGCAAGGTATTCATCTATAGGCTTCTCCCGTTGACATGAAACACGATTTTCATGTGCGCGAGCAGATTCATCGTCAAATATGGGCTGCAATTATGAGTCAATGGCCGATGGGAGAGGCCTGGATGTCACTGAAAATTAAACAGAGATTGAACGAGGGAGGAACAGCCCTCAGTGATGCTGAACAAAAGCAGTCGGGGGCTACTACACCATAAGAAGAACCGACAAACACAAATGCAGTAACAGTAGATCCAGTAACATGGATTCGCAGCTCATGGTGAGGGAAACCCACTACCACAGCTAGCATCATCTACCTAACCACAGCAATTCCATAGTAAGCTACCTCCAATTTCCAAGTCATGCTCACATCTCATGGTGATATGAAACTCACCCAGCTAGCTGTAAAGCAGGCTGCTACCACCTTCCATAGCCATGAGGCATCTGCCACATTAGCCCGGGGGTATGGTCCGTCGGGAGGTGGTCCAGATATCCTCGGATGGAGAATCTAGCATACTGATGGTTGTGCAAGCGCAAAGCAAACTTTAAAAGACAGTACTAGAAATGCAGGATCCGGGAAATTAAGCAAAACAAACGAAAATGTCAAATAATGAGCGTGTGAGAAGTTGGATCCACCGTGAGCAAGATGAGTGAGCAAGATGAGTGAGCCTACGAGTGAGCTCACAAGAGAAAGTTGAACGCAGAACCGCAGCCGAGGTCTGTGATCCCTCAGAGACTCATCTAAGCAAACCGCAGAAATAGTCTCTTAGTTGCGATCTGACATCCCGGCGGTAGCACAAGCAATTTCTATTTGACCAACTTTTTCATATGATACGATTCCCAAAGTGATGAGTGCCGGATCACCTATGTCATTGGAATGTAATGCTGTTGGGTAACTATGTCCACTAAGTGGTAAGTATCATATCATATATGATGATGATGATG